AAGAGGTTTTTTGTTTTTGAGAATGACAACGAATATTATAGGTTTTTCTAGAAGAGTTTAGTTAGATTTAATGTAAATTAACGTAATTATTCGATTTATATTATTTATTTAACCTAAATCATATATCTGTGAAAGTGGACTAATCATATTTGCGATAAATATCTGAAGTTAGGCTAAGTTAGGTTGAAATGAACTAGATCCATAGCCACCTAATTTGAATAATAATAGTAGCCCTTAATAGTTATTTAAAGATTGTTCTTGTATTATATTTAGCTGTTCTAAATATATATCATTTTAATTGTGTAGAAAGAAAAGCTTCATATAACTTGATTACTGTGTTTTATTTAAATACTACATTTATTTAGAAATCTATGAGTACAATATTTTACCTTGTAATATTTGGTATTTATATAAGTTAGTTTTTTTCCCCCAGGGCACATAAAACTTTAGCTGCGAAGTTTCGTTTACATATTTTTTATACAGAACCTTATCTTGGAGCTGTCATGTTTTATGGATCTCAATTTGGGCTCAACTATATTTAGAAATGTATATATATAGTGTGTATATTTATATATGTATATGTGTATGTATGTAACATGCTATTCCCACATAATTGCTTGTTTACATGTGATGTATGCTTATATGAGTGTGTACTGTATGTACGTATGTGAGTGTGTGTTGGCATGCATGTATGCATGTATGTGTGTATAGGATTGGAATGCCTATGAACGTATGAGTATGTACATATGTAAATACATATATAGTCACGTATTTATATCCTCATGTTAGTATCTGCGTGTGTGTGTGTGTGTGTGTATGCATACAAAAATATGCATATAGCCCGTGCCTCTGTATGCATGTGTGAGCTGTCATTCCCGTGTCCTTCAACTTGCCAGCAACAGCAACTGCAACTGCTGCTGCTGCTGCTGCTGCTGCTGTATCTACCTCGTATGTTGATCAATTTGCGCTGTGGCAGAATCCCTTAAAATTACTTTTGACTGCAGTGCGAAAATTCACGTATTTGATGCTCAGAGGGTTGAGCTGGGCTGGGCTGGGTCGCAATGTCTGCCCCGGCAATGATTGAATGAAAGGCTAAAAGGGGATTTCAGGAATTTCAACTTGCACAAAAAAAGTTGCACACTCAAACCCACATACACACGCACACACACACACATGCACACACAGCTAGCACATATATACAGAAATAACCTCAAACAAGGACGTTTGCTGTGTGCGAACAACATTTCGCCCAGGCTCAATTTGTGGGCGGCGTCCATTTACCGTATATACTTATACATATATTACATAAGAGCAGCATACATAGTCAAACACGCACACACACACATGCACACGTAGAGTGAACGTCGCAGTAATGCAATTTACAGCTTTGCCCAAACGCCCGAAAAATGTGCTCGCCCAGCTCTCGTTGTCTCTCGCAATTACTTTACTCTGCTGACTGCGACTGAGACTGAGACAACGGCAGCGGCTGCTGCTCCTTCTACTGCTACTGCTGTTGTTTACTGTTACTTCTCGTTCTCTCTCACTGCTGTCGCTCGCTCTCTTCGCCGTTTGGCGCAACAAATGTTGCCATTGCTATTCTCGCTGTTGTTGTTGTTCGTTTTGCTTTCCTGCTTGGCTCTCTGCACTTCCCTAACCGGGGCGCAATTTTAGCTGAATTGATTTTTCGGGCCCGCCTCACTGCGCATGCCGGGCATCTGGCGAGCCGCTCTTGGCAAATGCAATTGCTGCTCACCATGTATATGCATATATACAGTCCCTACACACACACACACAGATGGACATACATAGATATGTATATGTGCTCTGTGTTGTTTTTTGTGCCTGAGTCATGCGCCCACCCACAGCCACAGCCAGCAACATAATTTCCAGCCATAGCTGGAAACTGCAGCATTACCTTATATACATATACATGTATATATAACTGTTATATACCTATTCATATATACTTAGTGTATGTGCTACATGGCCATATTTTAAGTGCTTTGGGCTCGTTGCGTTGTTCTCTGGGCGCTTAAAGCGCTTAATGCGGCTTTAAAAAAAAAATGAATATCTTTTGGCAAACGAATGACAGAACATTGGGGCTTCAATTCATCAAAGCTGACTGGGATAGACGCACACATACACATGTGAATGTAAAGCTTTTTTTTTTTTTAAATCCAATTAAAGCCAAATTCTGATAACATTATTATTAGTATTCCTATTGTTATTATTGTTAACTGGAATTGGCAATGTGAACCAAATTCTTAGATTTCCACTAAAAAAAGCGAAACTTGTCTAGACTAAAAATATGTATATCAGGTATACTTTATCGAAATTATAGTTAGATTGTCTGGATTCTTGCTTAAGTAAATTATATAGGAACTTGTTGGAATATGTTTTTTTCGCATGTGCGTTAGTTGCCAAGAATAAAATATATTCCTTAAAAAGTATAAAATTATAATATATGAGTGTTACTTGTCTGAATGTTTATTGTTGTATTTACATATATCGAAATTGTGGCTGAAGTCCGTGTTTTTCTAAATCGCTGATCCATATATTTATAATGTGTAAGGTTCTTGTCTCATAAGAGGACACGTAGAGCATATTTCATATATTACATTCAAAATATTACAAAAACAAATAATTTCCAAAGATCATCTTAAACAGAAAATGATTAAATATTAAGAGGACAAATCGAGGATACGAAACGGATTTATGAATGTACATAGAATATAGAGGATATAGAGAACAGTTAGGGAACCTAAACTAAAATCTATTTTAAATAGTATACAAAATCTAAACATGATATTATATATTATATGTATATGATTATTGTGATCATTCAATTCTATACTGGGATGCAAACGTAGATGAGATCGACTTCGTATCATAGGCTGAAAATACATTTACATACCACATACCACCACCTATATATTACATTCACAGTATTTGTGGATTCCTGTCATTTCCAATAACTAATAACGTGCCCTTAGCATATTCGTAGCATATTTCGAAAGCGGTTTCTCTTCCTCTTCTCCGTACAAAAGGAATGTCGCGAGCAGTTTTAGCTAAAGGTCGTCGCGCCTGTATTTTCCCCTGTTGGATAGAAAATAGGCCTGTCATTTGTTTTACTCTTCTTCTGGGCCTTTTTGCGTCGCATGTTAATTTATGGCTGGGGTTGATTTTTCATGCCAGGTAGCGCGAAACACCAAGTTTTTACCTGAGTATTGCGTCGTTACATTTTCTTTTGTTGCTGTCCACCCTAATGATAACAGCGTGCACTAACATAAACAAACATTTGCTGTCACTGTTAGTAACAGTTTGCTGTTATTAGCTGCTTGAAGAGTAACGATACTATTAGCTATCTGTAGCTGCGTCAATTAGCAGTTATTGTACTTATATATTTTAGATTGAATATTTATATATTTTTTACTATAATTTAAATTAATTGCAATGTGTTTTCACTCAGTTGGCGCTGTTAATAAAAATAATACAACTTGGCAGCCCGCACATGCTTAGCGATCTGGCAACATTGTGCTGCGATCGCCGCTCGTGTTTGGTTACGCGAATATCGGCATGAAAACGGATTGAGCAATTAGTAGAAGCGACAACGCGATCAGCGAAACTGTATAAAATAAAATCCGCAAAATAAAGAGCAATATTAAAAAAATAGATGTAATAAAAAATTTTCTGTATCAAACAAATAACAACAAATACTGTGTGTGTGCATGTGTGTAAATATTAAGAAGAAACCGGTTTTGATATATTTTTTTTTGCTTTGCGCTCTCTACTGTCCAGGCACCGGCTACAGCTACAACTACAGCTTCAGCGCCAGCTCTTGTTTATGTGTGTGCGTGCGTTTGTGTGTTCGCAAATAAAATACAAAAAAATTAAATACAAGAAAAAAGTTCTGCCGCGTAAACAGACGACGACGTCGGCAGACGTTGAAAAATTTGGCGCCGTTTCTTTCTTTTATATATATAATTTTTTTCGCCGGTGAAATTTTTGCTCGCGTGTGTGTTTGTTTCATATACATACATATTTTGTTGTTGAAGAAATTAAATTTTGCATATAAATATTTCTTTAAAATACAATTGGCTCGATTATATTTGCGCCCATGTTAGAAAACGAAAAGCGCCCATTTGGCGCTGCTGAGAAAAAGCCGATCCTTCCACGGATACCCTTCTTTCCATACAGCAGCTGTAGCAGCAGCCGCCGAAAATTGACAAGGTTTTTTGTATAAAAACTATTATGCGGAGGTGTGTGTGTGTGTCTGTGCTTGTGGGTGGTGGTGGTTTCATTATATAAATATTAATTATATCAAAAGCAATTCCAGAATACGCTGCATTTGGTTTACAGTGTTAAAAAACAGCGCGAAGAAAACGTTTGCTTGCTGATCTTGTGACTGCTAGACTGTAAATGCTCAAAACAATGAATGTCAAACGGTGACCGAAACGATTGTGAAACTGTTTTGCAGTGGGTTAGAGTAGGTCAACACAATAGGCTATCGCTATAAAAAAACGGTTCTTATATAAAAATATGATTTTTATTTTTGTGCCAATATAAACGCAATGTTTGTCAAACGGCGAACAGCTGTAAAACTGTTTCGGCTTTATCTTTAGAGTAGGTCAATAGCTGGCTATCTCGCTCACACGCGCTGTTAATGTCAAACAGTGACTGTCAAACGGTGATTTTGTGTGTGTTAAAGCAAAAAAAAAAACTAGCTGGAAACTTAGAGATGTTAATCAAGGACTCTAAAACTGTGTTGATAACAATTTTGTGCTCTATTTAAAATGTACTTATAATTTTACCGGTGTTCAAGTGATATATGATACACATATACATTGTAAAGACATGCATATACATATGTAGCTTAAATAACAGACATTCTACCCATATACGACAACTTCATTCGCATTTTGCATAGAATAACAAACACTATACTCAAGTTGTCAACTGTTTTGCTTATCCGCTTTCAACGACTTCTTCTGTTATTGCAGGTCTACAGAAGAACCACCGACAAACAGCTTCGAAAGGAACTATTACGATCGCAGCCGCTTAGTCTATCAAGCCAGCAACGCAGCAGCAGCAGTAGCGACAACTGCCAACAGCAACACAAACAGCAACAGCAACAGCAGCAGCGATAGATCGCGCGCCCGAGATCGTCTTTACAGGAATGGTTCAGCAGCAGCCGCAGCAGCAGCAACAGCAGCAGTTGGTGCGTCAGCTACAAGTAGCAACAGCAACACGACGACAACGACAGCAGCAACAGCAGCAGCTGCAGCGGGAGTGGGCGCGGTTGCGATTGCAGCTGGAGCAGCGACAGCAGCAGGAGCAGGACAAGCAACTGGTGGTGCCGGATTCGGAGTGGGTGGATTTGGTGGTGGTGGTGGGCCACCATTGGGCGATCGGAGCAACAACAACAACATCATTAACCAAAACACACGCGTACCGCAGTCATGGTACGAAGCTGCGGCTACTGCGACAGCGCATCTGAAAAGTCCTGGTGGCAGTGGCAATGCCGGCGTCTCAGCAGCTGGCAGCATAATGAGCTCACCGATCAATCATCATTCACATCCACATCCACATCAGCATCAGCATCATCACTACAACAACACATCCGCCTCGTATTCATCACCCGCCCACTCGCATACGATAGCAGCAGCGGCGGCGGCAGCCGCAGCAGCAGCGGCGTCCATTACGACGGCCATGCACCGGAGTGTGGCGTATGCGGGCAGTGCTGCGGATGAAGCAACAACCACTTTAAATTCTGCCCGCAAAATTCACCTGCACCACAACAACAACAGCAGCAGTGGCAGCAGCAGCAGCAGTAGAAGTCCYGCTGCTGGTGGTGTCAGCAAACTAAATAAGCTGCTCAAAACGACGGCAGCAGCGCGCTGCGGCTCCGAGTCGCCTTTGAGTGGTGGTGCAGCGGCAGTGGCAGCGGCAGCGGCAGCGGCAGCAGCGACGACAAGTACAATCACAAACAATAGTTTTAGTAGTAATAGTTTAAATAATACAATAAACACGGCCACTCCAACGATGCCAATTGCAACAACAGCAACATCTACAAGTGGCAACAGTAATAGCAACAGCAACAGTGGCGACATTTTAAATGTTGCCGCTGCCGCGTTGGCCGCCGTCGTGGACAATGGCAATGCGACAACACAGAATGTGAACGATGGTCGAGCACCGCGACATCATTTGCATGGACGTAGCACCACCTCGTCCAGTCGCTCCCATTCACGATCGCCGAGCAGTTATAGTAGCTCGCACAGCTCATCATCGGCCTCATCGCACACATCGTCGCATTCGCACGCGTCCAGCCCGATATCGGGCAATTGTGCCGATGCACTCGTTGGTGGTGTTGGTGGCATTGCAGGAACAGCGCACCGCAGCTCACGCAGTTTGCAGTCCTGTGTGACAGTTGGCAGTAAGTAGACGACAGAGCTGATTGATACCGACTCTATACTAGATTGACTCACATTCTTTAATTTATCGCAGGCAACTCTTCAAATCCCAGTGGCAATGTGGGCGGCGGGTGTGGMTCCAGTAGCAGCAGCAGCAGCAGTTCTAGCAGCAGCAGCAGCTCCTGTTTGGCCGCCAATCCGGTGGTTCATTCCGAAGATAATCGTCCGTTGGCGATACGAGTCCGTAACCTGCCCGCCCGTTCCTCGGACACATCCCTCAAGGATGGTCTCTTTCACGAGTACAAAAAGCATGGCAAAGTCACGTGGGTCAAGGTTGTGGGCCAGAATTCGGAACGCTATGCGCTCGTCTGCTTTAAGAAACCGGACGATGTGGAGAAGGCACTGGAAGTGTCCCATGATAAACATTTCTTTGGCTGTAAAATCGAAGTGGAGCCCTATCAGGGCTACGATGTGGAGGACAATGAGTTTCGACCCTATGAGGCCGAACTGGACGAATACCATCCCAAGTCCACACGAACGCTATTCATTGGCAATCTGGAGAAGGATATTACGGCGAGTGAGCTGCGTGTCCACTTCGAAAGCTTTGGCGAAATCATCGAGATCGACATCAAGAAGCAAGGACTCAATGCCTACGCCTTTTGTCAGTATTCGGACATTGTGTCTGTGGTGAAAGCGATGCGGAAAATGGATGGCGAGCATTTGGGCAGCAATCGCATCAAGCTCGGCTTTGGCAAGTCCATGCCAACGAATTGCGTATGGATTGATGGCGTGGGCGAGAAGGTGTCCGAGTCGTTTTTGCAATCGCAATTCACGCGCTTTGGCACTGTGACCAAGGTGAGCATCGATCGCATGCGGCAATTAGCTTTGGTGCTGTACGATCAGGTGCAGAACGCTCAGGCGGCTGTCAAGGAAATGCGCGGCACGATAATGCGTGGACGCAAGCTCCAAGTGGACTTTGCGTCGCACGAGTGCCAGGACGCCTTCTATGACAAGCTGGAGAAGCAGCAGCAACAGCAGCAACAACAGCAGCAGCCACTGCAGCAGCTGCAACCTCAACCGCAGCCACAACAGCCAGCCCAGCAGCCCAATGCGGGTAAGTAACTGCAGCTCCAGTTAAATAGAGATGATTCCAATTGATATCTTTTTCTCTTTTAGCATCTGCCTCCTCGCGCTTTAATCGCTACGAGTCATCACAGTCACGTTCGCGAGCCTCGTCCTTCAGTCGGCATCAGAACTCGAACGATGGTTGTTCGCCGGGCGGCAATACGCCGGGCAGCAGCACCGCCTCCACCGCCACCGCCAGCAGCAGCAGCAGCGGGAGCGGGAGCGGGAGCATCTCGGCTAGCAATGCGATGCCAGCGCCGAGTCTTGCTTCGGCAGTTGTGAGCGGCAACAGTGGAGGAGCAACCGCAGCGTTGTCCTCGACTGCGGGTTGCCCACAGAATGCCATGCCCGTGTCGCCGGCGGCGATGGTGCAGGCGCGTATGCGTATGGCGCGCAATGCGAGGCACACCATCGACTTTGACTTCAACGATACGGGTCGACGGTTTCGCAACTTTGACGAGCACGCGAGCAACAACAACGGCAGCAGTGGCAACAATCAGATGCAGGACGAGGAGGCGAACGCGGCGGTGCGCTCAGATTCGCCCGTCATTGCACGCCTCGGACCCGCTGTCAATAGCAGCAGCGCCAGTGGGAGCGGGAGTGGCACTCCAATCAGCGACACGCTCGAGGGGACGCTGAACAGCAGCGGAAGCAACAGTCGTCGGCGTTGTGGTAAGACATCTGTAGATTTGCGCCATCAAGTGCACAATCCACGTTTCCAATTGCCAGAACAACAACAACTTGACGAGTGCCCGTCCAGTGGTGATGAGGGCGTGGTCAGTCCGCGCAAGCGCATCAAAATGGATTACCATCATCATCATCATTCCAATGCCAGTGCGGTGAGTCTAAGCAATAATTCCATACCATCAAATATAAAAATAATTCAATGATGTTTCCTGTCTTAGCAACTGCATATGCTGGATCAGAACAGCGACTCGTTGGTCTCTGGTCATAGCAGCAGCAGCAACAGCAACAAGCCCAGTCCGCTGTCCAACTGTGATGTAATACATGATCCTCTCAATCGCAAAAGCGAAATTCGTCGCGTCTCGGAGGCGAATAAATTTGCAGCGATTGCACCACCGCCCACCCAACACCACAATATGATGCTCAGCAGCCGGCGGCCATCGATCGATGTTGGCGCCTTGACAGCGCTGTCCAATTCGTCGGCCTTTCGCCACGGCCTGGTCGGCGCGAGCAGCATGGATCAGCAGCATCTGATGAATGCTTCGCTGGCAGCGAAACGACGTCGAGTTACAGCTAGCACGCTGCAGCTCTCGCAGCCGCAGCCGCTGCAACAGCAGCAGTCAACRTCGTCGTCGTCGTCGTCATCGATGTTGTTGTCCTCCTCATCCGCCGCCGCCAACAGCAATAGCAGCAGCAACAGCTGTGGATTACCACCTACGCTGGCAGCGCCCATGCCCAATGATGACTATCATCATCATGCGTCGCGTGGCCGGGGCCATCAGCTACATTCCCATCACTCACACGAGGCCAGCGGGGGCGAGAGCGCCGACGGCTCACGGCCGGGCACGCCGCTGTGCGATGAACGGCCAGAGGTGTTGCCCACCGAGCCGCGTCGTCTGCCGCCGGCAAGGGAACGGACACGGGAGCGCGTGCGCGAGGTAATGTGGCTGCCGTTGCCCAAATTCGGTGTGCTCTTCTTTCAACAGCAGCGGAGTGCTGGCAGCAGTGGCAGTGGCGCGGGTAGCGGCGTGTCCAGCTACCTGCAGCAGCTGACGACGACAGCATCGTTGCTCAACAACTCTAGTCTAAGTGCAGGAGCTGCGACGACAACCTCAGCATCATCATCGGCAGCAACTGTGTCCAGTTTATCGTTTCTGCCCTCACCCACGTTACGCTATTGGCGCTCCTCCAATCACCACCATCACCAGCACCACCATCACCATCAGCAGCAGCAGCAACCGCAGCAGCAGCAGCAACAACAGCTGCAGCAGTCCTCGTCGTCCTCCTCATCGATTGGCCTAATGGCCAGTCCGGCGCGTCCTCGCTCGCTGAGCTCCAACTCAAGCGACTCGGATGTGCCCAGTGGCCAGACGGGTGGCAGCCCCTCGTTGGATGAGCGACTGCGCAACTTTGAGGAGAACTACGAGCGCTGGTCCGGTGGCAGCAGCAGCACCAATCCCAACCATGGCCATGGCAGTCATGGGCATAGCAGCAGCAGCAGCCAGTCGAATGCGCTGCCCTCGTGGCAGCTGTCGATGCACTCGACGAACCTCAGTGGTCTCAGCTCGTCGCATCAGGCTGGCTCCGGCAACAGCAACAGCTCTAGCGGCACTGTCTCCAGTTCGACGAGCAATTCGCGTCACAAATTTCTTGACATTGACGAGCTGCAGCCGTCGGACATTGTCAAGTCGCTGTTGGCCAAGAAGTCCGTCTTCGACGATGACTTTCAGCGCCTCAAGAAGAACCAATGGTACGAGCCGGCAAGCACGGATTTCGGCACGGGCTCCACAAGCTCGGCGAATGCGCGGCATGGTGGCCTATGCAGTGGTAACACCTCGCCAGCTTTGCCCAATTTAGCGGCAACGAAGACAACGCCCATCATAGCCAACTGCAGCAGCAGCAACAGCAGCAATCTGGGCGGCAACAGCTCCGGCAGCAGCAGCAGCTGCAAGACGAGCGGTCTGCTGCAGCGTTTGAGCAGCTTGTCGCCCATGAACTCGCCGCAAGCGTCCATGTCGCCTTACAACAGCCCGTCGCCGTCGCCCTCGGTCGTTGGTGTTCAGTTGGCCAAGCCCAGCTTGAGCAGCAGCTGCAACAGCAGCAGCAGTACAACAACAGCAGCAGCAACGACAGCGGCTGCAACAGCAACGGCGGCAGCAGCAGCAGCTGCCACCAAGGGATTGCAGTATCCATTTCCCAGTCACCCGCCATTGCCAAACACSGCTGCTCCGCCGCCGGCGATACAACCAGCGCCGCCACCGCCACCGGAGGTGCCCAAGACAAAGCCAACCACGTCCTCCTCTGCGGCCAGTCAATCGCTCAGCAAGAGTCTCAGTGTGCCAGGGGCAACGACAGAGGCGCGATCTGTGCTGCAGAAGTCCGTCTCAGTGCCGGGCAGCACGAATGTGGGCACCACTGGAAGCAGCAGCGCATCCTCTAACGGTAACAGTTCCTCAACAGCMACAGCAACAGCCACACACGTACAAAAGCAAACGCCAAACCATTCAATGGATGAAGTGGAGTCCAAAAGCAATGCCAAGAGCTCAAGCTCCAGTGCAGCAACCACGACGAGCTCCTCGACGTCCAAGAAGAACAGCAGCAGCAGCGATAARTCGCACAGCAGCAAACACAATAATCGCTCCGATTCGGAAAAGAAGTCCAAGAAGTCTTCCTCCTCCTCCTCATCGTCCGCAAATGCGACTAGTTCGGAGAAGCGCAAGAATTCGGCAACATCGCAGTCCTCCAAGTCGGCAACGCCCAAAGTGGACGATGAGTCCAGCGATTCGGATGAGCCACTGGAGAAGCCTGACAAGGAGCAATCACAGCAACGTCTGGAGCGCGAGAAGGAGAAGGAGAAGGCGCAGCATAAGGAGAGACAGGAGCGTGAGAAACGTGAGAAGGAGCTGCGCAAGCAACAGGAGCGTGAGGAAAAAGAGCGCAAAGCCCAAGAGGAACGTGAGCGTGAAGAGCGCAAAGCCAAAGAAGAAAAGGAAAAGGAGCGAGAGCGTGAACGAGAACGTGAACGTGAAAGGGAACGAGAACGGGAACGGGAACGTGAACGGGAACGTGAGCGTGAACGTGAAAGAAAAGCTCAAGAGGAGCGTGAGCAAAAGGAGCGCGACGAGCTACGCGAGAAGGAGCAGCGCGAAAAGGAGCAGCGCGAGAAGGAGCAGCGTGAGAAGGAGCAGCGTGAGCAGGAGGCACGTCATGCACGCATGCGTGACATGTGCGCCTATCACAAAAACAAATCCGATGCGAGTTCCGAGGCGAGCAGCTTCTACGCCCACAATGCAGCCACGCCCAGTGAGAACAATAAAGAAAATGCTGCAGCTACTGATATGGCAACACAGCCAACAACAACAACAGCAGCAGCTGGAGCTGGTGCAGGAGCAGCAACTGTTGCTAGCTCTGCCCCAACGGAGAGCAACAGCAACAAGGATCGTTCACGCAAATCCTCGCGGAATTCACCAACGCCCAGCAGCGGACGACAGCACAAGCGACGCCTCAGCTCGCAGGACAGCAACCACAGCGGTGGCGGCGGTCCTGGTGGTGGTCAGAATCATGAGGATTATGTGAAACGCATACGCATGGAAAACCCGAACAGCACTACGAGCAATCCTCATCAGCGGCTCAGCGATCGTCGTGACTCCAAGGAGCACAAGAACAGCAGCAGCAGCGGCGGCTGCAAGGAGGAGAAGACCAGCTCCTCGTCCAAGTCGCATGGCAACAGCAGCAGCAACAGCAGCTCCAAGCACCATCGACGCGACAAGCATCACAGCAAAAGCACCAGCAGCACTGAGATCAATCATACCGAATTGGATAACAAGCAGCAACAGCAGCAGCAGCAGCAGCAGCAGCAACAACAGCTGCAACAGCAGCAGCAGCAGCAACAGCAGCAACAGCAGCAACAGCAGCAGTTGCACACGCTCAACACCAGCGAGGAAGAGCAGCAGCAGCCCTCACAGTCGCAGCAGCAGCAGCAGCAGCAACAATCGCAGTCGTTGCATAAGCAACGGGAGCATCATCATCATGGCAGCTCCTCGTCGTCGTCGCGGCACAAAAGCAAACGAGATCACCATCATCATCGCGAGAAGAAGCGGCATTCGGTGGCCGAGTCCACCAATACAGATGAGGAGCCCAGCCACAATCCGCACAGACGCATCTCAGCAGCGGGTAGCTCTGCTGGCGAGCTTAGCTCGAACACAAATACCTCCAGCAGCAAGTTGCAGCAGCACCATCAGCAGCAGCAGCAGCAGCAGCAACAGCATCAACAACAACAGCCGCAGCAGCAGCAGCAGCAATCGCATCATCATCATCATCATCGGCGCAGCGTGGACCGCAAATCGTCACGCGGCTCTGATGAGGGCGGCGCCTCCTCGAAGAGCGCTTCCCAGCCGCGCAAGATGATGCTCAGCTCCGCGGATTCGGATGACACAGACGATGCATCCAAGAAGCATTCCATATTTGATATACCCGACGATTGCCCCAACGTATCAATGTACGATAAAGTGAAGGCGCGCAGCTGCAAGAATATGCAGCGCCAAGCCGAGGAGAAGAAGATCAAGGCCAAGTTCTCACAGCTGAAGCAGTCGCGTGCGAAAAAGAAGCGATCCACCAGCTACGACGGAGACAGCGATACGGAGTTCGAGGATCGCATGCATCATCGGCTCAGCGGCAGCAGCAGCTTCCATGGGCGCAATCATGGGGGCCTGAGCAGCAGCGACGATGACATGGATGATGCCGATGGCTTTCGCAAGATGTCGCACAGTCGCATATTCTCCGACTCGGATGCAGATGGCGAGGTGGATGCGGAGACTGACGATCTCAATGCTAGTCGCATGCGCCAGCAAATGCAACAGAATCTACGACGTCTGTGCGATGGCGACGATAGCTCCGAGGATGAGATTCGTCGCAATGTGATCAGCCACGCGGGCAAACGGAATTGCCTTTCGACGCGTATTGCCTCCGATTCGGAGTCGCAGTCGCAGCCGGCACCGGAACTGATCAACACTAGCATCAAACAGGAGCCGGACATCAAGCAGGAACAGATCTCCGATAACGAAATAAAGTATTCCAAATCACGTCACAATTCGCACTCCTCCAACGAGGAGCGCAAGCTGAAGACGGACTTCAAGAAGGAGTATAACGAGTACTTCAACACCGGCTACACGAACTATGTGGGTGACAGCAGCTCGGCCAAGATCAAGGATTACTCTCCGGAGACGCGCAAGAAGCACAAGAAGAGCAAGAAGCGTCTCAAGTCCTCAGCCGAGAGCAGCTCCACCATTAACGTTGCTCCTGCGCCTGCTGCAACGAGCAGCATCTTCGATGTGACCGAAAGCAAGCCCAACAAATTCGACAGCTTCGATGAGCTGAAAACGGAGCCGGTGACAATCGCAGCTGCTCTGGAGGTGAACGCAAGCTCGGTGGCGGCCAGCGAGAGACGGAAGCACAAGGAGCGCAAAGAGAAGAAACGCGAGAAGCTGCGCAACATGAGCGAAACCAATGCTGTCGGCGGCTCTGTGGAGCAGCTGAGCGAGAAGCTGTCCAAGGAGGAGCGTCATCGGCTGAAAAAGTCGAAGAAGTCCAAGAGCTTGGACACATCTGCTCGATTGTATAATGTCAATGCGTCCAATGCCTCTCCACCGACGCCCACCACGTTGAGCACACCGGCTCGAGACTCTGCCAAGCGCAGTGAGGACAAAATGGAGGACATCTTCGGTATTATCTCCGATGAGGAAGAGGACGAGGAGGAATCGCAGTTGACCGACGATCAGCCCGACACGACTAAGGCACAGCTCTCCACCACTGGACCCATGGTGTCTGCTGCACTGCAAACGTACAAGCAGGAGCCGTCTCTGCTCAGCCACAACAGCAGCAACAAGGAGCCGGCGATACAGCAGCAGCAGCAGCAATTGCAACAGCTGCAGCATGAGGAGCTCGAAACGGAGCGGAGTGAACGCGAGCGACATCGCAAAGAGAAGCGCGAAAAGAAGCGACGCGAGAAGTCAGCACGCGAGCCAAAGCAGCAGCAGCAGCAACAGCAACTACAACAGCAACAGCAGCAGCAGCAGCAACAACAAAATGCCAGCAAATTGGACGACGACAACAGCGTCGATATGGATGAGGCGGGCCGTGCGTTGGAGGCGCAGCTTATGGACGACTTTGATAGCAACAAGATGCCCGAAGATGCCACGCCCTCCACAGCAACCACTTACCGCAGCGATATGACGGACGTTTTCCGTTTCTCGGATAACGAGGACAACAACTCCGTCGAGCAGCAGCAACAACAGTTGCAGCTGCACTCGCACTCGAGCGAGAAGCAGTTGGAGTCCAAGGAATCGGTGCACAAGAGCAAGGACAAGAAGAAGAAGAAGAAGCGCTCCAAAGAGGAGAAACAAGAGAAACTCGACAAGCAGCAGCAACAACAACAATTGCAGCTGCGTCGTGAATCAGCTTGTTTGCCACCAGCAACAGCTGCTGCACCAACAGCAGCTGCCGGTTCCTCGACTAGCTCGCTGACTATCAATGTGCAGGCCGCCTCAAAGCATGCCGAGGAGCAGCTGGAGAAGGAATCGAAGCACAGCTCTCCACTCTGCAAGCCATCGCCCAGTTTGCCCTGTCTCATTGGCGACGATGATGATGAGGAGCCTCCAATAACGACGATGCCCGTCATCAAGCCCTCGTCAGCTAGCAGCAGCAGCAGCAACACGAACAGCAAGAGCAATCGGTTGAACTCCTCTGATGCCCTCTCGCCGGCTCGTGAGAAGCCACGCCTGATCAGTCCCATACCAAAGACGCCCACCATTAGCCAGAGCAACAGCTCCATGCTGTCCACACAGTCAGCGGAAACGCCTGTCAGCAGTGGTGCTGCGCCTCTGGTCACCACGCCCACATCCTCAACAGCGGCTGCTGCTGTCGAGTCGAAGAACGTCATAGAGAGCAGCTCACCCACCAGTGCAGCCCTGAATAAGAAGAAGGAGGTCTTCATACCCGGCTTCGATGGTCAGCTGGACTATAAAATAAGCGAGTCGGCTGTGCAATCCATATCGGCAGAGTTGAATAGTGGACTGCTCGACGTATTGGCCAATGAGCCCAAGATACCAGTCGCGTCGCCACCTGGAGCGATCAAGACGCTGGACAAGTTGGAGGACAGCAAATCCCGAGTTACCATCTCACAGGAGGAGACTGAGAGCGCTGTGTCCGCACTGCTCGGTGAAAGCTTTGGCACATCCTCAACGGCAGACTACTCGCTGGATGGCATGGATGATATGACCGCAACGGTTTCGGAGGTGGCTGTCGCCGAGCCCGATGAGGAGGCAGCACTCGCTGCCAAGGCGATCGAGGCAGCTGTCGAAGAGGCTGCCACAGAACCAGAACCAGAGCCTGAACCCGAACCTGAACCCGAAGCTGAACCTGAACCAGAGCCAGTTGTTGTCTCCGTGGGCGTAGTGCTCGATGCCGAGGAAGTGAACAAGGCGGTGCAGAGTTTGCGCAACGAGGACATGGACATCAAGGCGGACACGCCACAATCCGAGCGCGATCTGCAAATCGACACAGACACCGAGGAGAACGCCGACGAGGCGGACAGCAGCGGACCCAGTCTGAAGATCGACGAGACCGCACCACAGAACAGTGGCTCCGACAAGTCAGCGTCGAGTGGTGCTGACAAGTCCCCTGAGCCGAGCAGCGAGTCCAGTACACGGTCCAGGCAGACAGTCGAGACTCCGCAGCCCACCGTCATAACCAAGCTGTCGACTACAGTGCCAGTGCCAGTGCCGACAACAGTTGCAGCCGCATTGCTGCCCAATGCCAGCAACAGCAGCAGCAGCAGCAGTAGCAGCAGCACTCCAACCAAGTCCAGTGCTCAGCAGCTGCTGAAGATTGAGCCGCCAACCATTAGCAAGTTGCAACAGCCACTCGTGCAGCCAGTGCAAACGGTGCTCCCAGCACCGACAGTATCACCATCAGCAACACCAGCACCAGCAGTGGCATCAGCAGCAGCAGCAGCAGCACCAACAACTACAGCAGTTGCAGCAGCAGCAGCAACAACAACAACATCAACTACTACTGCAGCAACAACTGTGCGACCGGCAACGCCCGTCATCAATTTGGATCTGTCCAATGTGATGGCCAACTGCTCCAATGCAACAAGCAGCAACAGCTCGGCCTCGCTGTCCTTTGGCAGTCCAACAACGACGCAGAAAGCAATGCCACTGGCCTCCACGCCCAAGCAAACGCCAGCAACAACCCAGCAACAGCAACAGCATCAGGCAATGCCACAGCGCACGCAGTCGCTCATCATGCAGCCGCCGACAATATCTATACCGGATCAAACGCCTCATTTTGTGGTGCCGCATTTGATATTGTCGCCGCAGCAGCAGCACCACCAACAACAACAACAGCACCAGCAGCAACAGCAGCAACAACACCAACAACACCAACAGCAAGCGCCTCCTGGCACCTATCTAATGGGCATACGAGCGCCGTCACCGCATAGTCCGCTGTTGTCTCCGGGACGCGGCACGCCCAATCGCCAGCATAGTCCAGCCGCCCGCCAAATAGCGCCTGCACAGCAGCAACATCCGCTGGCTTCGCCTACAGGCAACAGCAACATGAACATGAGTCCGTTGCCCAGTCCCACAGCGCGTGGAGTTGCCACAACCACGACGACATCGCCCACAACCGGCGGCAAGATGCCAACACCTAACAGTTACCTTCCACGCCCACCGCTGCATCAGCAACAACAACAGCAGCTGCAGCAGCAGCAACAACACCAGCAACAATCTTCACCGGGTAGCATGCCCAAGTCTGTCATTGAGCTGCAATCAGGCGCAGGAGTTGCTGCTGGCCAGGGGCCACAATTGCTGCCGATGCCGTTGCAGAAAATGCCGCCGTTGCCCGTGCCGCATCACCCGACAATCATTAGCAAGGTTGTCACCGTGCAGCCACAGCAGGCGATACAGACACAAGTGGCCAGCTCGCCGCCCATGGGTAGCTTGCCGCCGCATAAGAATTTGCATGTGAATGCCCAACAACATCAGCAGCAGCAGCAACAACAACAACAGCAACAACAACTGTCTCCACAAATGTTGTCTAAGATGAACGTGCATCAGCAACAGCAACAGCAGCAGCAGCAGCATCAACAACAGCAACAACAACATCAGCAACAGATGCAGAAGTTCATCCATGCACATCAACAACAACAAATGCTAGACCGCAAGCARCAGCGACAGCAGCATATGCCGCAACAGCACCAACAGTTGCACCAGCAACAGCAGCCGCAACAACAACATCAGCAGCAGCAAGGGCATCCACAACAACAACACTTGCAGCAGCAAATGCAACATCCGCCATTGTCACCGGGTCATCATCATGCACATCCTACGCAGCAGCAACAGCAACAGCAACAGCAGCAGCAGCAGCAGCAACATCAAGCACGCCAGCAATATCAGGCGCAACAGCAGATGCAGCACCAACATCAGCAGCACCAGATGCATCAACAACAACAACAGCAGCAATTGCACATACAAAAGCTGCAACAGCAATTGCATACAGCACATCAGCAACAGCATCAGTCGTTGACGCATTTGACACCGCAGCCGCCTGTGTTTACACAACAACAACAGCAGCAACTGCCACGCAACGTGCAACAACAACTGAGCCCAACGGGCATCAATCCCAGTCCACACAGCTCGCACAGTCCACAGGCGCAGCAGCAGCAGCAGCTGCATACGGCTGCCATTCTGGTACGTGCGCCCGCTCAACAACAACAACAGCAGCAACAGTCGCAGCAGCAGCAACAACAACAGTCGCTCAATGTTATACAGAGCGCGCCAGCAGCACAAAAAATAATTGTGCAGCAGCAAATTGTGCCTGCACCAACATCGATGCACTATCCGCCGCCACCGAAGGAGACGGCGCCTGCTGTAGAGTCGCCCGTGCTGCCGGTGAAGACTTCGGAGAGCGTTTCCGTAATACGTACGCCCACGCCCACCATCAGCCTGGCCAACTCGCCGCAGGCAACAAAGGGTGCAGCAGCAGCAGCGGCGGCAGCAGCAGCAGCTGCTTCTCTGCTGACCGAGGAGAATGTCATCAAGATCTCGCAGCCCAAGCAGGATGAGCTAATCGAGCAGGACTCGAAGGAGGTGGACAGCGACTACTGGTCCGCCAAGGAGGTGAACATTGACAGTGTCATCAAGAAGCTTGATCCCGCAACAGCAGCTGCAGCAGCCGCAGCCGCAGCTGTCAAGGACGACAACCAGAACAAACGAGCAGCAACACAAATGCAGCAGCAGCAACAGCAGCAGCAGCAGCAACAACAGCAACCACCTGTAACTGAATTGGCCTCAGCAGAAGCAACACCTTCGTTGCCCAGTGAGCCGCCAGCAACAGTAACAGCTGTAGCTGCAGCATCAACAGCACCAACAGTTGCTGCCAATGTCAGCTCCAATGATCATGATACCGAGGATGAAACCGAGACGCGTCAACTCACAGTGAAAGCTCTCAAGCAACTAGGTCGACCGCCAAGCGCGCGTGGCACGGCAGCCAAACGTGGACGTCAGCCACGTGGCGCCAAGGCCAAGCAAGCTGCCGGACTGCCAGCAACAGTTACGGAGCCCAGTCCGTTGCTGTCGCCGGGCGACAACGGCGTGCACACACGCCTGCGCAAGCCTGTGACGGCGCCAGTGACGCGCGGACGCAAGGGTAGACCGCCGCGGAACTTGTTGCTGCAGCAACAGCAGCTGCAACAGCAACAGCTGGCCCAACAGCAGCAGCTGGCACAGCAGCAACAGCAGCAGAAGGAGCCTGTGCCGCCTGCACTTTTGACAATGCCTGTGCCCACAGCCGCTGAGAAGAAGGCCAGGAATCAGGCGTTGACACAAGCCAGCGGATCCAGTCAGGATATATACGAGTTCCATGACGATGTTGGCGATGCTGAGCCAAAGATAAAGGCAACTCCAGTTGTTGCCACAGCGGCAGCACCTGCTGCCGATGACCCGCGACCGCGACTCATACTGACCATCAACAAGCTGAAGAATAGCAGCGAACTGGAGAGTCAAGCGGAAGCGACGCAGCCGCAACAACAACAGCAGCCGCAGCAGCAGCAGCAGCAACCACAGCTGGAGCACAACACGGACAGCTCGGAGTCGTGCAATACGCGAAAGTCGCGTCGTCTGCAAGAGAAGGAGGATCGCAGCACTGTGGACGATATCATAGAGGATGTAGTGCGCAACACTAATACACAACAGCAGCAACAACTTCAGCAGCAATTGCAACAGCAGCAGCAACAACCGCAACAACCACAGCAGTCGCAGCAACAACAGCAACAGCCGCAGCAACAATTGCCCAAAGGAGCGCAAACGCCACCTCGACGCTCCGGTCGCCATGCTCAGGCTAAGAAACCGGATGCTGTACAAACGCCAAATGCGGTGGGCAGACCTCGACGCTCCAAGGAACGGAAGACCATATGTGAGCCACCAGCTGGCTTGCAGGAGGAGCCGCAGCCACTGTTGCTGCCGCCACCTGTGGCCCCAGCACCAGCAGCAGCGCCAGCCCCAGCACCAGCAACTGAACCACCACCAGCAGCAGCAGCAGCTGTTGTTGAACCACCAGCAGCCACACCTATGCAGCTGCAACAGCAACAGCAGCCACCACAGTCAGTCGCTCCGCCACACATTGCCCATATGCCCGAGGTTAAGGAAACACCGCCAGCGCCTCCTGTCCAGGCGATTGCACCACCAGCCGCAGAGCCGCTGCCATTGCCTCCTGTTGTGGTGTCGAAGCCAACGCCGCAGCATCCCAAGAAGAAGGCGATTGCAGCAGCCGAAATCGAGTCCTATCAGGCCATCAATTCGTCCATGCCGCCCATGCATCAAACGGCCGCTCCGGCGGCCACACAGAAGATCACAGGCGGCGCCGCAGATGCGGTGAGCAAGGCGCTGATTGATCCGGTTACGGGCGTCATTACGGCGGGCATGCCGCAGGGCAAGGAGGGCAATTTGCCGGCTGCCAATGCAGCGGCGCCAGCTAACAGCAGCAATGAGGTGACGCCGCTGCAGCAACAGCAGCAGCAACATCAACAGCAGCAGCTGCAACAGCAACAACAGCAGCAACAGCTGCAGATCAGCGCCACAGTCATAGCGCCAGCCACGCCCATAACAACGCTGAGCAAGCCTGTGCAGTTGCAAGTGCAGGAGGCAGCGGCAACATTGCTCAACAAGCCGGTCAGTGTGCTGGTCAAGAGTAGTGCCCCGCCCACACAGCCTACGCAAATCATACTGCAGCAACAGCAACAGCAGCAGCAACTACCACAACAACAGCAACAGCTGCAGCAGTTACCTCCGCAGCCACAACAACAACAACATGTTGCGCCCAACAAGCAGCCGCTGGTGATGACAACTGTGTTGCAACACGCACAGCACACAACGGTGCGTCCACCGCAACCACTGAAAGCGCACGTGCTCAATCGCGAAAAGAATCTGCAACAGCAACAACAGCAGCAGCAGCAGCAGCAACAACAACAGCAGCAGCCGCAGCAGCAATTGACACCCAGCAAACAGCATCAGCAACCGCCTCATCCCGGTCACATGTTGCTCACAGATGCAGCTGGCAATCAACAACTGTTGCAGCCAAATCTCATAGCGCGCCACATGCTTGGCCAACAACAGCAGGCGCAGCAGCAGCAGCAGCAGCAGGGACAACAGCAACAACAACACTTGCTGGTCAATATACCACCACCCACAGCGCATTCGCCCCACTCGCCACGCATTACAGCAGCACAACACGTGCAGCAGTCGCAGCAGCAGCCACCTAATGGGCCACAGCAGCAACAGCAACAGACGCTGGTCATCAAGCAGGCCACAGCAACAGCATCAACTGTGCATCCACAAATACTGCATGTGGTAAGCTCGAAGGCTTCAGTGTTGCCCGCACAACAGCAGCAGCAGCAGCAGCAGCAGCAACAACAACAACAACAGCCGCCGCAACTACTGGCGAAACAGAACTTTGGCTATGCGCAGCAGGCGCCAGCACAGCAGCAGCAACCACAGCAACTGTACAAGCAGAAGGCGCCGCAGCCGGTGGTGCAGATGCCACCGCACAATCTACTGCTACCCGCACATGCTAATCTGCTGTTGCAGCCAAAGCCAGCGGCGCATTTGCAGCCACAGCAACATCAGCTGACCCCATCGCCACCGCCGAACAAGCCCATTTCAGTGGTGCACAGTCTCCAAGCGGTGAGCCAGATGTTGCCCGGCAGCGTGGGCAGTCCGCCGCCAATGAAACCAGGCCAACAACAGCCCAATGCGGCAGCAGGTAAGCTAAGACATGCCACTCACTGGACTCTCGACTCTTTACTCATCAAATCCTTTGCTTGCAGTTTTGCGCACGGCCATACCGAATATCAGTCCGCAGGGACAGCCGCGCGTTCCGCCGCTGGTATTGCCATCAGGCATGCCAGGCGTACCACCCTTCGACGCCAGCATGGTAAGCATGGCTTTTAATATGCTAGATATAATAATATGATATACTGTATATATATATTTGTACTTAACCTATAACTAAACATTGATGGTGCTAGCTTAACGATTTACTAACATTTTGCTAATCCTTAATCCTGCCATAAATGGACGCAGCATGACTTGGGCGCCTATGTCAGCGGTCGGCGCACACAGAGTCCTCCGCCAGCGCATCAGCAGGCATCGCCCATAACACCGGTAATGCACAAGTTTTACTTGCGGAGCTTTGAAGTAGCGTAACCCAAAACGGCGACCCAATACATTATGCAAAATAATAATGCCTTATAGCATATTCTAATCCCTCATATTTCCCTTACCACTTTCATTTGCAGAACGACACGGCCTATCGTGGTATGACTGCCATGCTATACCAGCATCACATGATGCGCAGCGGGGACTATGATGACAAGATGATCAGCAGCAGCCCGCCATTGGAGCTGCGTCGTCCAGGCAGTGGCCCGCCACGCACCATTGCCGTGCCGCACAGTCTACAAAGTCCACAGGATCGCACCGCAGCGGGTACGTCTACATATACACATACACATTTCAATACAGATATAGTTATTAACATCATATTTACACCTATGCAGACTCCCCGCAAATGGCCCAAGTCTATGTGCACAATACTCGGATACCCCACGCCCACTTCAGTGAGATGGCTACACGTGGCGGGTACTACGAGAGTAGCGGTATACAGCTAGAGCCACCGCCGGCGCATCGTGCTGCTGCTTCGATAAGTGTGGTGGTGCCACCACCGCCGAACGTCGCAAGCGCCAGTCCGTACATCAGTGGCGGTGCCTCTGTCTCGGTGTCCGTGCAGCCAGGTCCACATAGTCTACATCCCAGCCAGGCCAAGCTATTGGAGCGTGAGCGCGAGCAGCGTGAACGTGAAAGGGAGAACGAACGCCTGTCCATGGTGGCAGCAGTTGGTACATATACAAAAGCCAAACTACTTGATAGACCCATGACTCACTTCGTCTCTCTACGGTATATTGCAGCGAAACAACAGCAGGAACACTTGTCAGCCTCGGTTATGCACGGCGGCATGGAGCTGCCTGCTCAGCCACCGCCGGCAGCAATGGCACCACCGCCGGGTGACTCACTGGTCACGCTGTTGCAGCGGTATCCGGTCATGTGGCAAGGCCTGTTGGCCTTGAAGACAGATCAGGCGGCTGTTCAGATGCACTTTGTGCACGGCAATCCAAACGTGGCGCGCGCTTCGCTGCCCAGCATGGCGGAGAGCACCACGCCCCAATTGCGCATTGCGCAGCGTATGCGACTCGAACAGACTCAGCTGGAGGGCGTGGCCAAAAAGATGCAGGTGCGTACTCTAAACACATTAAACCACATAGAGCAGTTCATAACTAATCATTGCTTTGTGCACAGGTGGACAAAGAGCATTGCATGCTATTGGCGTTGCCTTGTGGGCGCGATCATGCGGATGTGCTGCAGCACTCGCGGAATCTGCAGACCGGCTTCATTACATACCTGCAGCAAAAGATGGCCGCTGGAATTGTGAATATACCCATGCCGGGAAGCGATCAGGCAGCATATGTGGTGCACATATTCCCCGCCTGCGATTTCGCCAATGAGAATCTGGAGCGTGCTGCGCCCGATCTCAAAAATCGTGTTGCCGAACTGGCTCATCTATTGATTGTCATTGCCACCGTATAAAAAAGCGAAGGCCTACACCCTCTGATCTACAAAAATCAACACGAATGTGACTATTAGAAAAACTATCTGCCATGTCTCTGTAAAAATAACTGCTAGAACAACAACAACAATAACAACAACTGAAAAGTGAAAACACATGTAAAGTAAACAACCAACCAATACAACAAATAACTACCAACTACAACAAAGCAAAAACAAGTTACGCTCTTCTAGTATATTAAGTAATTTTAAATAGCGTTTAAACAAAACAAAAGTTAAAAAAAAAGCAAAACTAAAATCTAAAAAAAAAGTAAAAAGAAGATGAACACAAAATGCAAACTTTATTGAATTCAAATGCAAGAGAGAGAGAGAGTAAAGGGCGCAATCAATCAATCAAGTTTGGTTGATTGGCCACTAACAAAACCAATGTAAATCCGTTATACAAAAAATACACAGAAAAACCCCTCATATACCCTCACATATAATATATAAAAACAAAGAGAAAAACGCACTTAAATTGCATAAAACTATGTTTGTCAAAATTCTCGTTTCTTTTCTTTTCATTAACATAATACATATAAATAATTTTAACAACATTTTTGAAAGCTTGCAAAGTATCGTTAAGTTTGATCTCAAGAAAGTGTTTATATATTTTTTTTGCATATAATTTAAAATGAATATGAAAACAAAACGAAAAGTAAATGTGAAAAGAAAAGAAAGCTTAAGCAAAATACCTAACTGTTTACTGTACTACATACTACTTACTATCCATACATACCCACATAAAAGCATATATACCTACTATCCCTATTCGAAAGGAAGATATAAAGCAAGACACGTTTAAGTTTTYGATTGGTGAACAACATTTCACACACACACAGAGACAGATAAAGACAAACACACATATATACACTCACCGCTCGCAATTTACAAAGTTTCAATGCTCTTAATTAAGTTTCGTTTCTATTTTTATGTCTTAATCAATTTCAATTTCAATTTTGTTCCTCGGCTCCATGTGTTGCGCGCCTTAGCCGCCCGTGTCGCATTGACCCGAAGAACGCCGCAAGCGCCACCTGTCGCCAACTGCTGTTAAGCACAATTAGGTTTAAAGATGCGCCCAGAGGCTTTTTCCTAAAATTACAAACATAATAAAAAGTAGATTAACCCACATACATACACACACACATACATACAAGCACACATTTATATACGAGCACATGTATACACATACAACTACATATATATAAATTACACTTATGAAATATCTATTTAATTATAAACAAATATGTGTTAAGCCAAATATTTTAATGTCTAGAGACAAGATTTGTTGCTTCAATTTTTAGCTTTTGCACGGGGCACAAGGCGACGTTGTCCTTTGTGCCGCCTGTTTCCCTATTTACACTCTCTCTCAACAGATTTGCTTGAAAAATTACAGTCAACAGAAACAGCGACAACTATTACAACAACAACAACATCATCACTGCCACAACACTGTACAAGAAACTAGTTCAAGCAAAGTTGGGTGTTCTTTTTATAATTCTTCAATGTTTAGTTCTCTAGCATGAAACTTTGTAAATTGCCAGACAAGTAGAGCGTATATATACATCTATAGATACAACACAGATATATGCTTGTATATATATTCATATAGATATATNAATATATATAAATGAAAATGTCCCCTCTGTACACTCCTTAAACTTAAACGTTTTCACACCCAATTGTAAATTATGTGACGATGAAAAAAGAAAACAAGAGAAATAAGAAAAGAAAATGAAAGAATTATACAAGTAAAAGCAAAAAGAAATTTGTAAAATATTTAAATTATTTAGCGTCTAATCAATAATTCATGTACATGTAAATACAGTTTAATTAGTGTTTAGCGCGTATTTAGTTGTATGTTTTAAAACTAAACTCTGTACATTATATAACACGATAAACAAACAAAAACAAATATATATATATAAATATTACGATTATGAGAAAGAGATCAGAGAAGTAAAAACAAAAAATCGCAAGAATAAGAGAAAAAAGTAAAAACCATTTTTGTCAGTAAACACAAGAACAGAAGAAACGCTATTGTTTTAAGACATTTTTAGTTATTTTTAAGTTAATTAATGAAAAAACGATAAAATTACACTTATTTCTAAGTGAATTAATAAACCAATTCAATAAACTTTTTCTGTTAAATGATTTGTTTTATTTATTTTTTTCAACTAATTCAACGTTAACCCAACGTCCAAATCGAGTTCGTTCACAATAGTTGTTGGTTGTTCGATGATAGACCGTTATCAGCCCACAAGATCCACTAGCGAAATGCAACTTATAGTATATATACATATATAAAACAAGACACAAATATATATATATAGATACATATATATATATAGATGTTAATGTTATACCTGTAATTAAATAAATTCTATACCTATGCATTATATGTGAAAGTTTTGTTGATGTTTGGTTGGCGGCTAATGGAATTCAAAAAGTAACTCATATTCGAACAGTTTGAATATTTTGGGTATTATGTTTTCGATTCAAACAGAAGCAACGTCAAAACGAAGAAGTGAGTTTAATATATTAATATTACATTATACTCGTTAAAGTATATTATTTGAAATCAAACTACTATTCTCTTTTTAGGAACACATTTAACTTTTAATTTTTGGGAACAGTTTGATGCGCTGTTATCATTGAGTCTTTTAACAGTGGGCTGTTACTGCCATTGAAAATTAACAGCAACAGCTGTCCAGCACACATTTCATGTTATCGATATACAATCGAAATAATCAAAGCGGAAAACTTTGGGCTCACTGATTATTAAGATTATTATTGTTAATAATTAGATAATAGTAAATAAACATAACTGTATATTCAAGCAAGTTGCATTCAAGAATGTCCACTCTACTTCAGCAAGGTAAATACACGTGTTATCCGCACGATTGATGCCAGCAGCAACAGCTCTATGATTATACAATTCACTCATGTATGCGCCCATTTGCAGGCCTGCCTCTCACATCGGCCCGTGGGCCGCTATTGCAGTTTATGCGTTTTCGCGGAAAAATAAATATACAACGTCCGAAGCAGCCGCATTATGAGCGTGCCCGCGTCGTGGCCGTCACACAACCCAAATATCCAGAGGCGCCAAAGGCTCTTACCTGTTTTCAGTCACGAGCAGACCGGACGGGCGCTCAGGTGGAGAACCCCTACAATGCGATCATAGCACGTGAGGTGCGCAACTGGCTAGATCACTCCAAGCTGGTGGCGATCTTCCACTTGAACTCAATAACGTCAGACGAGATCTTTCGGGTTCGCGTGCAGCTGTACAAGCAGAACTTGCACCTCAAAGCCTACGGTCGGAAGATCATTGCACAAGCTGTAGCCGGCAGCCAATACGAGGCTATTTTGCCACTGTTCCACTCCAACCATTGTATCGTGTTCTCGCCCGATCAACAGCGAGTGGGTGCACTGCTTCGAATCACACGGAAAGTGCCGCAAATGGTGTTGCTGGGCGGCATTGTGGAGCAGAAACTGCTCAGTCGCAACGAGCTGGTGGACTTTGCACAGATGCCTGGACTGCAGGCGGCACAGGCGCAGCTGGTGCAGACTCTGAACATGGCGGCGAGCAACGTGGTGCAGCAGCTCCAAGCTCATCAATGCAATCTAATCAAAGTGCTGGACGTGCACGCCAAGGGCGATACAACAGAAAAGCAGGAGCCGGAACAGGCAAAGGAAGAGGAAAAGCAGACATAAGTTACACGTTTAATTAACAATAACAGCGAAAAGAAAATAATATTCCTCATTTGTCTTTCATACTACATATAAATTAAAGCTTATCAACTAGATTGCACTTTTCCAACGGCCTGGAATGTCGTCCTAGGAGCTTATTGTGGCTGCCATATGATGTTGCCAACGCTGTCTGCAGTTAAAGGCCAAGTTCGCTAACGCTTCGGCGGCATCCAGTTCGTCCTTGTGATGCAACAGCCAACGCTCGCCACGTGCCGCAGCAGTGGCATCGCTGGTGAACAGCATCTGGCTCTGCACGGGCCGCTCCTGCCCAGCGCATTTGTGCCTAAGGATAGATAATATGTTGAGCATAGATCAGCAATCAATGTACTACCTCGATGGTTTACCTGCTCGTATTCCACTCGAAATGATAATTGTGCCTGTCCGGCGTGAATCTGGCCGCACTCTCCAGCCACTTGTTTAACTGGTTGCCAGTGCTGTCGCTGGGAGCCGTCGACCCACTCGAGTCCAGGGCGTTGCTGTCCCGCAGATATTTCTCCATCATCTGCTGCTTGTACTTTGCCTTGCCAGCCGGAACAGTGGGCAACATGGGCACGCGCTCACTTTGCTGCTGATGGACCTGCTGGTGCTGCATCTCGGATTCCACATAGAAGTTGGGCTTGTATGGCGGCGAGGAGTAGCTGGAGGTGGCATTATTGCCATTGCCGTCGCTGCCTGTGCTGCGGCTGGACAACTCGTCGTCCTCGTCATCGCCCTCGTCATCTTCGGCTGCGCACACTCGCATGTCCTCCTCCCAAATGCTATCCTCGGACGAGATGCTGAACTGCTCCACATTGCCCCGTGCATTGTGATTGTAGTTCTTGATCAAATGTCCCCAGGATTTTTTCGCCTTTTCACGCTCCGAGTTTTTTAGCTTGCGCCGCCAGTTGGCAAACCAATTGCAGATCTGTGTGTAGGTCAGGCCCGTCTCTCCGGCCAGCTGCTTCTTCTCCTCGCGACTTGGATACGGATTCTCGCGTCGTCGTATCAGCCAATCCTTCAGCATGCGCTTGATGTCGGGCGTGAAGAGACGTTTCGCAGTTCGCGGCAAGTGCAAATCATCCTCTGGAGGCCAGGCACGTCTAAAATTTCAATTGTTCGACATAAGCTGCGATAGAATTCTTTTTTACTCATCTCTTCTCCCCCACTCACCTGCTGTGCCGACGATTACGCTTGGGGCGACACGATTTCTCCATGGCTACGGACTGTAATTAGAAGATGTATATTTAAAATAAATGATCATGCTCATCGTAAACAATTCCCCTGCCCCAGGCTATTGCTCATCCATAATTAAGCCAATCGACCCGAAATACGCTGTAAGGCGAATTTCAGTTTCAAAACTTTTTCTGTTTTTGGGTGGGTGGCGCTATTTCTGTCCACGAATGCCGAACAGAATTTTCATGTTTTTTGCCGTTGTTTTCACTCGATAAAAAAAAAAAAAAAATAAGAAACGATTTGACTGTGTCAGAGTAAAATTTTGAGAGCCAATGTGTGTGTGGGAGAGCTGAGAGATGGCGTTGGATATCACACGATCGAATGAGCATGATCTCTATAAAGGGCGTAATGTCGTGTAAATAGTTGGCATGCGAATCAAGAACCGATTCGTATTCAATTTGCATGCTCTGAGCACAATAGCTCGTATCAATTTTTGTTGTTTTTCATTGATAAAACTCGGTGGCCATGTTTTTCCGTAGATAGATCTGCATATATATATATATATACATCTGTTATGTACTATTTCTAAAGATGAAAAAAACTATATAACATGTTGCTGCACAGCCAATGCTAAAGTGCAGAGATCATTTTCGAGTTCCATCATCGCTGGCATTTGGTGTAAGTTTTGTTGACATTATTTGGGTATTATATAATCCCAGCATAACACAGAGGAACAATAGATTTGTTTTCCTCTCTTTTTTAGTTAATTGTCTGTTTGCACTAATTTGATCTTTGGCTGCTTCAATGGCATTTCGATTTGAGATTTGCCAAATTTAATTTAAGGCCTTGAGGCATTAGGTCAGCAGCCAGCGGGCGACATGGATAAATTCACCCACCTGTGAATATTCAATTTCAATTGTCCTAAAATGCTTTTTCTTCCCTCTTTTCCTGAACAGCGCGAAAAGTTTTGAAAACGTTTCGAACGTCGAATCGCAGATTGCACACTGAATGCTCGTCCAAAATTTGTTCAAAAACTGCCAGAAGATTGTTTTCGAATGTTCGTACGAATTTCGATTCGGGCGCCATTCGGGAAAAACGAAACGGAAAAACTTGCACTTATCACACACACACACACACGAACGCACAGCACAAACGAATGGGGCACTTTTAATCTATTTACAAAACTCGAGAAAAATATGTGTGGTACATACATACATAATACCGCCGATTTTCAAAGAATCATCGAACGTGCCTGTTCCGGCATACACTACCACGCTATCAGGCCAAAAGTTGTTGACGCGATCATTAGCGATTGAGTGTCATATGGCCCAATTGTGTAGAGTGTAGAGTGCACAAATTTACTTTCGCTCTCGATCAATTGGTCGCGAGCAGTTGGCCATGATGTGACTTAATTTAAATTGTGTTGCAAGTTATTTCAAAATATTTATAAATATGCACAATAAAAATTGTGAGGCATATTATGTCAATGAAAGATTTCTGTTCAGAATGCAAATAATAAGCTGTGGAAATGAACAATAATAAAACCAAATTAATCGAATATGAAAATGTAAAAGATTTCCGTTCAGAATGCAATAAGCTGTGGCAATAATAATAAAAGATTATCTACAAAAATATATATATGCCCCAAGAAAATAATTTAATAATACATACAATTTCAATTTAGAGTGTCAATTGCAATAAAACGAATTTTCGCTTTGAATTTTAGTGCGATAAAATATAAATATTAAAAGAAAATTAATGCCATCAGATCTTTTAGATTCATATAAAACAATGCATATCGTCGAAATTCGAAAAAAACGGAACAAGAGACTAGAGCTGCCACTGCACCTCAATAAATACCAAATAATTGTTTACATTAATCTGGCGACTATCGCTAAAAACTTTTCATGAAGTTGGCAGCTCCGCAATTATGCAGTGTGTACACACGATATTTCGACTAAAATTCAATTGTTTATATCTAGAACGTAATAATTCGCTGAAAAATTTTTATTGCGACCTTTTACAACTAAATCGAAACGGCTGGCCGCTATGAACGAATCAGTGCGCTATGAGCGCTGCCAGCAAATACAGCTGGGCGTGCTAACCGAGTCCCAAGAGGGTATCAAAGCATCCGAATCGGATGTACCACAGGGCATTGGTAACGTAAGTTAAACGTCTCAGCCCCCTGAAAGTCTTTGTTCATTAACACTGACTCATTTAATCGTATAACTGCTCTCGTATTTGTCAATTGTGTGCAGGTGCTGTGCACCCACGATGGTGTGCTGCTGAAGAAAGCCAATGCCGAGCACATTGCCGAGCTGAACACCAGCGGCTCCTTGTCCTTGGTGGAGTACAGCCAGCCAAGGCGTCGTCTGTATCTGGAGTGGCAGCCGAACGATAGCATAATGATAGCCGACGATAGCCAGGATCAGGGCGATTGGGCGCTGGTTGACAGAATCTCGGGTCGCACACGCACCACATCCGAGTGCAGCGCCTTCAACACAAAGCCTGCAGAGATTGGCAGCAATGGGAATGCGGGAAATGCGCGCGGCCGGATAATGCGCGCATTATTAGATGATTTGGCTGCCGTTGAGGTGCGGCATCGGGGTCAGACAATACGATTTATGCGTAAATCCGATCACGGCGTGCACTGCGAGTTCTTCTTTCAGCATGGAAACGCAGATCTATTTGTACGATCCATGCGGCAGCAGCATTTCATCGAGAGCTCCGAGACGAGTCGCAGTGGCAGCGAGGAGTATGCCATACTGAACACGGAAAATCAGAAGCTCAAAAAGACCTTCGCCGAATTGGACATTGGCGAAATCAAGGCTAGCCAGCTGCCCCGGGAGAGCTGGCTGCCAAATAAGCTGGCCGGCTTTCTGGGCACCATACCGGACTATGTGCAGCCATCGTTTCAGCGATCCCCGAAATCGCGTCCTGGTGCATTGGTGCACAACGATCGGCAGACCTCGCCCTCGGACAACTATCAGTTCATCAAGCTAAGTGGCAGCACGAATAGTGCCTGCTCCTCGAACAGCCAGAGTCGTGGTGAGAGCGCCGACAAATCGCCAGCGGACAGTGAACTGGAGAACCTAAATGCACAGGATGAGAAAATAGTTAACAACCTGCCAGCACGCCAGAGCGTGCATCGCGGTACGCAGTCGCTAGTTAATATCGAGATCCAATTGAATTGATAATGATTTTCCATTTTAGGTCAACCGCTCAATGAAGCTCAGTGGCGGGAATTTCAAACCCGTGATGGCTGCATCTCGGATAGCCAACGCATCAAGGAGATCATCTTCCGAGGTGGCATTGTGCCCAGCCTGCGTGCCGAGGTCTGGAAATACTTACTCAACTATTATCAATGGTCTGACACGGAAGTGGAACGCATTGAACGGCGCAAACTAAAATCGTTGGAATACTACAAAATGAAGGCTCAATGGCTTTCGATGTCCACGGCTCAAGAGGCCAACTTTAGCGGCTATCGCGATCGCAAGTGCCAAATCGAGAAGGACGTAAAGCGCACGGACCGAACCCAATCGTTCTTTGCCGGCGAAGATAATCCAAATCTGTTGCTACTGCAGGGCATACTAATGACCTATGTTATGTACAACTTCGATTTGGGCTATGTCCAGGGTATGTCTGACCTGCTGGCGCCCATACTCGAGATTCAAGTGAATGAGGTGGATGCCTTTTGGTGTTTCGTCGGCTTCATGAACATGGTGTTCAGCAACTTTGACATTGATCAGGCCGGCATGAAGACACAATTCGCGCAACTGCGCCGATTGCTTGAGGTGGCCAATGCGCCGCTCTTCAACTACATGTGCAGTCACGAATCGGACAACATGTACTTCTGTTTCCGCTGGCTGCTCGTCTGGTACAAGCGGGAGCTGGACAACGAGGACGTACTCAAACTGTGGGAGTGCCTGTGGACACGTCTACCTTGTTCCAACTTCCATTTGCTCTTCTCGGTGGCCATACTCGATCAGGAGACGAACGTGATTATCGATAGGAAATACGAATTCACCGAAATCCTTAAGCATGTCAACGAACTAACCGGCACCATCGACTTGAAGCGCACTCTGGAAACAGCGGAGGCCATCTATTTGCAACTAAAAGGATCTGAGGCGTTGCCCAACGATATACGCCACATCATTGGCGAACCATTGCTGCCGCCAATGGATGGCGAGGTGCGGCCGGAGGAGGAGCCTGCCTACTCGGACGATGGCTTCGATGAGCTGGGCGAGCTAACGCCTGAGGAGAAGCGTCGCAATGATGAGCTGCTCGAGGAGGCGTTAGAGCGATCCTTATATTTAAATTATATGTAGGAACGAAGCCAAAACTAAGCCGAGGGCTACCAAATGCGCAAATTTGATATATATGTATATTCATATATATAGCCTTTAAGACTCAAAGTTTACTATCGTGTCGAGGTGATGCTGATGTGGTGGGGAGGGGGACGCCACTGTTAAAGTGCTTTAACTGCTAATGCACCGATTTATATATTGTATATTATACATGCATATATTTGTACGTTTTTTGTATTTATTGTAAGTTCTTATCCCCTCATCCCCACATCCCCATTGGCTTAAGCGATCGGCATAATTGAAACGATATTTGAACAGCGAAATTAGAATTAGACCCATGTCTGTATGTCAATTTCTAAATTGAAATTTTGATTTAACGCAATGCTAAAAGCAGCTTCTGTTGCCTCTAATTAAGTTTAACTCAATTACTGTGAATATACAAACAAGCATATATAAATCTATCAATTGCGTAGTAAACAACCAACTGATGTCTCATTCTTTCGAGGGTCACTTAAATGGGGCGGCAATCAATTTGTTCTGGTGGCGATACGGGGAGTTTACAAATATTTGAACTCTACTCGATTGTTATTCAATTTCGATTTGAAATTGATTCTACTGTAATTGAAAATCCAAAATAGCTAATACTTTCCAAAATTATGATTTAATACTTTTAACACTCGAGTTTGTATAACTTCGAACTTGGCTCAAAAAATTCAAGTTAAATGTCTTCAAATCACATTTGAAAAACAGACTTTGGTTCTCAATGAAAAAGTCAAAATATTTTTGTAATTTTGGAAATTTATTTTTCATATATTTATCTTGTTGTTGCTGTAGTTGTGTTTGTTTAATTATCATACTTTAATTAAGATTTATACTTAGCATCTCTAATTTAAATTGTTATTTGCTCTTGTCTGTTGGTGCAACTGCTTTTTTTTTGTTTTTTATTTTTGTTTCGTTTATTAAATATTTTTGTTTTGTTTAGTTTAATGGATCGAAGTGCAAACAAAAATATGTACTTCCATTTAATTTATATATATAAATACATATATATATAATGAAAATGCAATACATGTACGCATAAATATTGTATTTCAAATTGTTAAACATCCTTTTTCTTTTATATATCAATTTTGTTTGCTGATTTGTTGTTGTTGCTTTGTTTCAATTCATTTTTAAAAACATACAAAATACAAATTAAAAACTTACACAATATAAAATTGTTTTACTAATTACATAAAATTAAAATTAATAAAAATTAAAAGCGATTTGACGACAATGTCAATATATATATGTATGTATATATATGTGTATAAATATTCATATATATAAATGTGAATATGCATGTGTATATACATACATAAATATATATATAGAACATGCAGAGTACATAGAATAGTTTAACATAGGCATAGGACGATATCAAGTTAAAAAAAAACATATTTTGGATTTAGGTCACATACACACACACATATTCATTGCAAAATATATATAAATTGGAAACAAATTGGTTGAGAAATACATGAATTGGGACACTGATACAATCCGACTTGATACGATTAAAGATCCATTAAAGATACTAAAATATGTACAGGTTGTTTTTTTTTTTCTTTTTTGTTGTTTTTGTTTTTGTGATTAAGTTTAACTCTTGTGAAGGACGACAGCATTGAACCCAATTAAACTATAGCTATATATATATATATAAATATGTATATATGCGTGTGTATACATCATAATAGGTGTGTATGTATGTGTGTGTCTCTTGTTAATCAATCAATCTGCTTTTAAGTTAGTTTTGTTGTTTAAACATGTTTTTTTTTTCGATTTTCTTGTTTGTTTTTGTTTTTCATTTGCTTAACCTTTTATCAATAATAATTTGCAATAATTTAAACCGGTATTTATCTGCTTGTGTTGTGTGGGCCGTGGCTTGGGGGCGTGGCAGCCGATGTGGCAGCAGCAAGCCTCTCCTGGACACGCACCACCCACCTGAGCCACCGCCACGTTGTTACAATTAAATTATAAGCGCTTTTTTTTAATATACTCGCACAGCAAAAGTCGCGCCATCCAGCCACGCCTATCGTCCCCTGGCCACGCCATTGTTGCAGCAGGGCGTGGTCGATGGGGAGTGTTAGGCGTGGCTGGGCATAACAACAATTGCCAGGCTACTTCTTCGTGATCTTAGCCAAGTTGGGGAGGATGCATAAACAGGTGTCTGTCCGGCGTGTGATTGCCCCAAATGTCCCGCCACAAGCAGCAATTGTGGCAGGCAGAAGCACTCAGCACTCCAGTCCCGTTGCAGCAGCTGCATCCAAACACTCCACCTGTGCTCGCTAGCTCTACTCTATCATACATATATATATATAT